AGGCGTGGCCCTGTGGGGGCTGCAGCCCAGCGGCATTCGTGCCTCCGCGTCCTGATGCAGAGGAGGGAGTGGTCCCTAAATGTCACCCTGGCGACTGAGGCTGGCATCTCCCAGGCTGGGGGACAGGCTGTGTGCGGGCTGGCTGAGGGGCTGCTAGCAGCTTTGGGGTATCCTGCAGGGCCATTGCTGGGGGAGGCACCAGCGAATGGCTGGTTTCACCACCTCTCCTAGCTGCTCCATGACAGCCACGGGTTTTTTCCCCCAGAGAGCGCAACAATTAGTGTCACAATTACACTGTATCGCGGTTGCTGTTATTGTTCCGAAAATAACCACAGGCACGAGCCGGAGCCCTGCCTGACGAACCTCCCATAGCTGCACACATGAGGCAAGAGCTGCCGTGCTGCTGCCCCAGGGATGTAGCTCGCAGCACCGGACCCTCTCGCCCAGCCTGCTCCAAGGCGCCCATCACCATGGCCTCTGGTGCCGTAGGGTAGCAGCAGGTCCATGGCCCCCTGCTCTTCAGGAAGAGCAAGGAGGGACATTGCCCACCCTGCTCTGCTGCTGCCAGGCCCCAGAGGAGCAGGACGGGGCGGTGGGAGAGGAAGCGGATCCCAGCAGCCCTGCTGGAGTGGGGCCAGCAGCCCGGCAAGGCTGTCTGCCGGGGCCACAGGGGGCTGGGAAAGGGCCCCCCGCCGCTCGGGGCGCAGCGGGAGCCCCACACAGGACTCTGCTGCTGTGGGAGGCGTTCGGACAGCCCGCAGGGGCTCCCGTGCAGATCCCTGGGGAGAGGCAAGCACAAGCCGGGGGTCCGGCAGAGAGCTGTGAGCTGCTGCTCCCACCTCTGAGATGCCCGTGGGCTGCAGTGTGGCTGCCCAATGGGCTGGGGGTGCCTCCCCCCCTGCACAAGGGGACAGCTGGGCTGCCCCCACCCCGCGCTGCCGACACCGCGTGTGCATGCACGGGTCTGCGTCTGCGTCTGCGTCAGCTGTGAGTCAGGGCAACGTGTGCCTGTGCAGGGGGAGGTATCTGCAGCGCACGTGCAGGATGCATCAGCTTCCATGCAGGAGGGGTGTGCTCGTAGGGTGCGCATGCACAAGTGCATGGGCATGCATGCATGCGTGTGCAGGATGCATGAGTGTGTGCGTGCATGCAGGGTGTGCGTCTGTGTGCAGGGTACATGCCCGTGTGGGCTAGAAAATGCACGTGTGCATGCAAGTGGTGTGGGCGTGTCTGTGTGGGTGTGCCTGTGTGTGCAGGGCCTGCACGTGCATGTGCACGCAGGCCTTGCACGTGTATGCGTGCATGTATGGGTTGCGAGGTGTGCCCGTGTTTGTGTGCACCCAGCGAGACATCTCGGGTGCCTGCAGCAGGAGCCCTGTCCCCCGAGGGGGTGTGCGGGCGAGGGGCTGCAGGGCAGTGGGCTGCATCCCTGCTGAGGCTGTGCCAGGGGGAGGAGGCAGCCCCCGTGCCCAGCACGGCCTGCCCCCGGCCGAGCAGGCTGCCTTGGGATTCCTCGTTAATTCCGTGCTGGGGAGGACTGAGAAAGCAGAGCCTTCTGCCCTTCCATCCCTAAAAAGCATCCCTCTGCTGGGGGTCTCATGGAGGAGAGCAGCATCCTTCCCAGCCTCACAGCTGGGGTGCCTGCGCCCCAAGCAGCGATGGCCGCGGACAGGGCTGCGCAGGGCTGGGAAGGACCCCAGGAGGGGCCGCAGGGAAGTCAGCGACTGACTTATGTTTATTTTCGCAATAGTCCCAGCTCCACGGGAAAAATAGTGGAGATGGCAGAGCTGAAGCGATTTCCTCCGAAAGTGCTATGCTGCTGCACTTCCCCGCTTCGCTGCAGCAGCCGTGGAAATCACCAGCTTTTCCCCAGCCCTCTGAACTCGAGCGCCGCCTCGGGAAGGGGCTGGGCAGGGCCCGGGGCCCCAGGGCCATCAGACAAGAGCCACGAGCCAGGCTCCGGTCTGTCCTAGAGCCCTTGGTCCCTGGCACTAATGATTTTGGGCTTTCCTTTGGGAAGGGGGCTGGCCCAGGTCTGGGGCTGCTGTAGCACCCGAGATGGGGAGGTGGGGAAACCGAGGCACGGCTGCCAGGGCTCGCGGCAGGCTGGGGTCTGCCCACCCTATCTCCCTGCTGCTGCCCACCTCTCTGCAGGAGACAGAAGGTGGCACAACCAGTGACATGCCCAACCGTGAGAGAGAAAATGCCTCTCCCCTGCCCTCTCCGCAGTGAGATGGGCACCTTCCCTGAGCTGCGATGGGAAGCAGGACCCCCCGCGTGGGTGGCCTGGGCTTGTCCTGGCCAAGGGGACAGAGCTGTGCCCCGTGTCCCAGGGACTGCCACCCTGCCCACCACCAACCACCATGGGGACAAGCGCACACAGAGCGCCTTTCATCGCCCGTGGAGGGGGGCAGCCACCCGCTCGCCGCTCGGCACCCGCGTGGCTCGGGGTGGCACGCTGGCCCGCCAGCCCCTGAAAGGGCCGATTGAGCGCTGCTGAGGTCATCCGCCCGGTGTGTTTACCCCATGTCCGTGGCCCCGGGATGCAGCCGGCACCCAGGCTGTCCCTGCCACCCGGCAGGCTGGGGGGACGCAGCTGCGGGCAGAGCCGCCATCACTGCTGGGGCGCTGGGCTGCTGCCGGGGAGCAGAGGGGCTGGAGCGGGGTCGCAGGCACCCGGCATGGCCTTCCAGCCGCCGTACTCCCCGAGCCTCTTCAGGAGGAGGGACTGGTGAGTAGGGCCTGGCCGCGGGCGGGGGGGAGACATGCGCCAGCCCCGGGGCCTGGGGGGGACAAGCCCCTGCCCGCTCTCTGCAGCGCCAGACCCCTGCTCAGCCCCTGCCCAGCGGCTTTGCATGGGTCGGGCTGGTGCTGGCACGGGGGGTGCGCATCATCCCCCCGCGGACAGAGGGACGAACAGGTCCCACACGTGCCGCCAGGGAGAAGCACCCCTCCCATGCGCAATCCCCCCACCGGGGAGGAGAAGACACTTTCTCGCATCCCCACATCAAACCTGTGTGTCTCGGGGCACCCGCACGCGCCCGGCTGTGGTTCACGGGCAGCACGGTGTCCCGCGCAGGGTGCCTGTGTCCTTCGCCACTGAGGACACCGCGGTCCTCATCCTGCCCTGGGAGGTTGGGGTGCGATTTTCTGGGGAGCAAGCTGGCAGCGCCTTGCTCTAAGCAGCAGCCATGCTGTGCCTCAGTTTCCCTTTCTGATGGGGAAATACCCCTCTGCTGACCCTCAGCCCTTTCCTGGAGGAAGGGGCACAGCAGCACACCCGCCAGTGAGGCTCCTTGGGCCGCTCCCTGCGGAGCCAGGTGCCGGGCACCGTCAGCACCCCCTGGATCAGGGGATTTGGGGTCCTCTGCAGCATGTCTGGGGTGCACGTGCCCCTGCCAGCACTAATGCTTTCTTGGACACTGCGCCGTGGCGTCAGCTCTCTCACAGGGTCTCGTTCAGCATCAGCACCCACCCTGGCTTGCGAAGGATGAGCCCCGCAGGGTCGGCGGCAGCGGGCAGCAGCGGGGTGGCCGCCCGGGTGCTGAGCAAAGTCCCGGCAGGTCCAGGTCCAGAGGGCAGAGATAAGCCCTGGGGCCAGCAGGGCGGCCAAGGAGGGCGGCCGAGCACCAGGGAGCACCACCTGCGGTGGGCAGTGCCAGCCCCAGGCCCCCCGTGGTGCTAGGGCCCTTTTGGGGGGCCTTGCCTCCGCCCCACGGAGGAGACGCGCTCGCTCCGTCTGCAGGTCGCTGCGCGGGCGCGGTGGCGGAGCCGGCGTGACTCCAGCGTGACTCCAGCGTGACTCCGGCGCGACTCCGGCGCGACTCCGGCGCTCGCACTCGCGTGTGCACAGGCGGGGGCGCCGCTCCGCGCCCGCAGCGCAGGCCCGGCCCCCGGCTCCCCCC